GCAGCATACTGAAAAACACTGTGATTGGGACAGAGCCATGTCCCATAAACCTCCTGGAACCAGTTTTTAGTTTCATTGCAAACACTTCTGGAACTAACACTTCTATACGCAATTTTGTCCATTTCCTTATCCTCTCTATCGAGGCTTTTGAGACATCCCAGCAAAATGTTATTTCTTTCTATTTATTAATTCGTCTTGATTCTTCAAAGAATTAAAACAAACAAATAAGCAAAAAAGAACAACAAAAAAACCCCTATACAGAACCCCCCAAAACAAAGCAAAACCACAAGAAAACAATAAAACCCAAACCCAAAAAACATACCAACCACCCCCCCGCCCACCCCCACTGCCCCCTGAAATTTCACATGCAGAAAAACCCCAACCATGTACTCACAACAACAAAATATCAAAGAAACTGGAGCCCATTCTCCAAGGCATCAGTTTGAGCTAATAACACTCCCTTCTTTCTCAAGCTAGTAAACTGCATGGAGAACAAACCACAGTAATACCAGCAGGTATCTTAAATGACTGACTGCAATTAAGGACTTGTATCATTACAAACAACGTACAAGCTCTGAAGAAATCTGAACATTTCAGATCTGCTTTCTGTCATTTTGCAGCAATACCTAGGAACCCATCTGCAAACAGTACATCCAAAAAAATACTACTGGCATTAAATACATAGTGAACTGTTTTTCACTGAATTTTACACTGACTCTTAATACTCTCTATGCAGGGCAGATGAACCATAGCTACTGCAGAGAGTACTGTTAAGAATTATTTTTCCAAGAAACAATTGTCATGCTTCTAATGTTTCAGAATACACAATTAACATAGGAAATTATTCTACTTAATTTCCTGGGGTAGTATAAACAAAGGATGATATCCAGGGCCCTGTTTCTCATGCTATTCTTTAGTCTTTATTTTTCTATTTCCAACCATGATACATACAAGTTAATAGAAGACAGTGGTATATAAAGAGAGAAAATTTACACATTGAAAACTTATTGCTCACTTAGAACTTAAAGAGTATTCAATCCATCTGAACTGCACTGGTTTTCAGTATTGGAGTGGTTAGAGGCAAGTTTTAGCCAACACAAAAACATAGAAATTTGGCACTATGTCAGCATGTGTTTTAAAACCTGTTTTTGCTCCCACGAAGTGCAAGGACCAAGTCAACTGTTAGCATTCCTCTCTAAAAAGTAATTTTGTGGCTATTCAGTACCATATTCCTATCATATTATTCCAAAACCTACCAAGTCAAACTTACAGGCATAAGTGATTTCCTTTCTAGAACATAACAGGTATTGGAATGACACTTGGAGCTGGGTTGGGTTTGGTTTTTTGCAGATTTTTAAGCAGTTGAATGATAAATTCCTGAAAACAGTGGTTTACCTCAAAAGCACCGATAAGAATAGCACATGCAGTCAAGACAGCACATGTAGTCTCAGAAAAAATATTTCAAATAAATGCTGGTAGATGCATAGCTGGAAGACTGATGAGCAAACACTAGCACTTTCTAGATAAGTTCACATGCATGCAGAACTTAATCACTAGCACAAACCCAGAGATATTTAATCACACAAAAAATTAATTTTAAACTCCTTTTTCAGATTATACTGATTTTTCATCTGCTTATTGTGAAATAATGTAGGGACAGCACATAGTGTCAATTTGCCCTCGTGTAACATCTTTTACTTGACTATTAAAGTATTGCACTTACATTTGTGAAGAACACTGAGTGAACGCCCTCAGGAAAGAACCAGGTAAGCATCATAAGTACTATGTGCGTTTTATGAAAGAATTTTTGAATATAAGTCACTGAGTGGCAGGTCTTACCTCACTGTTAATGAGCAAAACCAGGGATATATACAATCCAGTATTTAACTTCATTCTAAATGCAGACTTGCTTCATTTTTCAAAAATTATTATCAAATTGTTTTGTAATATGCATTTGTTCTCTTAGTTTAGAAACCAGTGTTTGCAAACTTAGTAGCTGAATAGTATTAAAGAAAATGCCATGAGGAACACGTGGTGTGCATAGATTATAAGAGACAAGATTATTTTTGTGACACATTCTACCTGTAATCAGTCTAGAGTCTTAATATCAGGAAACTTTCCCTTGTAGAACCTATAGGAAAAGCAACGGACAAAAAAAACCCCCAAAGAAACAAAACCACCAAAAAACTCTTTTTGCATGTATAGGATATTACATATAAACATATATGGTTTTAGAACTTCAAACTAAGGGCTCTTAATTAGATACCCTATTTGCTGGCACAGTCAACCCTCTCAAGTTTCTGCCTCCCTCCTGCCTTTTCATCCATGCAGAAGACAGAAAGCAATTTATACCTAAGGGGAAACAATGCTGGACGAGGGAACAGGAGAAGATAATTTTCTCTAGATTCCCTTTCACATACATGGATAAGAGATTCGATTAACAAAATAGTCTTAGCATGCACAGCAACAACAATACAGGGTGACCTCCTTTCACCACCCTTTGAGTAAACACCATCAGTACAGGTTGTATATTCTCCACAGACACACAGTCCATTCAACTTTTATATTACTGTTCTCAGATCCTGGCACACCAGCCAACTGTCCCGGCAGCGGTGATCCCTACGAAGTTACTTGCAAGATGCACAAGTACTGTTTCTGTGACTCAGTACAGGTGGTTCCCAAGGTTGATGTAAACAATTGTGCAACTGGTCAAAATGTCCCTCAGTTTGCCATGGCTAACAATAGCCACAGGAAAAACTACTGTGAGACTGTTATTACTGCAATGCTTAAAAGGTCAAATGTTTCTACTGTTCTTCACTGCTTGGTTCTTTGTTTAACAAACTTCACCTTCCGGGCTTTTGTATTTTTAATGCTTCTGCATCACCTGGCATAATTTTGTCTTTAGAATGATTTTATGGTTGATAAGTGGCAAAAACATCTTGAAGAATCAATTACAGAGCAATACTCTTGGAGGAGATTTTGCAAAAAGTATTACAAAGAGACTTCGAGAACATTTTTTGTCTTCTAGTTTAGAAGAGATATTGGCACATTTTTTTTCTGCCAACTTGTACTGACAGCTTTCAACATTAGTTGAAGACTCAAAAGAGATGTTATTATTCATTTCTTCCAGAAAAGATTACTTGGAAAATCATCAGAACAATTTAGCAGCTGTGTAAATTATGGACAAGAGAGAAGAAATGGAAAGATGGGTGGGCCTGAAACTCTACTAAGGGAAAAAAAAACCCCCTAACCCTGCAGTAGGCTTCAAAAGGAATTTTACTTCGCACTGTGTGATTCCCTCCACACCCCAATAATATAAACTTGTGAAAGAAAAATGTTAAAGAAACCTTTCCATACAGTCATAACTGGTCTTCTTGAACCTGAAAATCTTCAATAACATTCATATTTGAATTTCAACTCCAACATGCACAGTGGAAGAAATCACCATTATCTAAAAAGCACTTAATTTTTTCTCAACTAAGAAGGAAGCAAATTCCAATGACCAGCATCTAAATTTTTCAGTAAAGTGCTTGAACCTTTCTGGACATAATGATGTTTCACCCATGAAGTTCTGACAGTAGAGAAACTTTAGAAACTCATTTAGACCAAGGTTTGGCAGCATTTAACTGCCACATCACCTTCCAGTAGAGTTTGTCATGTGAAAAACGTGACTAGTTATACCAGTTATGGCAGTTCACGACTCAAAAGATCTGTGTGGCTCTATGCTAAATTCCTCCTTCAGTGGTACTGACATAAACCTTAAACCATTACGTTACCCAGTTTACACCAATAAGCTACTCCTGTTCAAACAGCAGTATAAAAAATTGCTAAAGTCTAAATGAGATGCTGCTGAACTTCATGCTAAGTACCACTAAAAACTGCAACTTCTAGATCTGTGTCAGACACATAGCACTGTCAAGGGGTTCATCCACTCTCTCCTTGAGAACCCTGGATAGATCAAGTAGAAAAAGAGTGGATTACCCGAAAAATCAGATGAAAGATCATAACCAAATGCAGTCTGCACTGCAGACTCCAAAATCCAGCCCACCATTTCCTCTGCCCAACACTTTGCAGAAGTGATCAAACACAGTTTTGTCCTTAAACAGTCTTGCTAGAGCAAAACACAAGAACAGTTTGCTTCCCAGAAGTCTGCTCTGAAACAAGAGTCACAGCTGCTTTCTGAGACCCAAATTAAATAAAATCTATCCAGAAACTGAAAGAAAGAGGATAACACAATTAAACATGGGAGGGGGCATCAAAACCAACAAACAGGTGCTTCAAGGAAACAAAAGGTCACCTTGGTTTAAAGCAAGACTTGCAGGCAGGGGGAAGATATTACAACCAACCAAACAGAACAACTCCAATGCCAAGCTTCCAAAATACTACCACAATGCAACTTGGAGGTAAGGGGTTAAAGAACGTACCCCCGAGATTTCCCGATTCAGTTTCACATTTATACATTTGAACTAAGACAAACCCGAGTAACTGTTTTAAGAGAGGCCATGCAGATCCTTGAGGCTATCAGCATTATGCAAAACAGCGTGGAACAGGAGACTTATTTACATCTGGCACTGAATATATCCATAATGATACCAACAAATAAAAGAGCACAGTGCCCTTCACCCTTTTCTCCTACTAAGAATTGACCCGATGTTTTCCTTTTTCTTTTAAATTACTAGAGCAGCCTACACGGATCAGGTGGAGGGATATAGAACAAATCTGATTATAAAGATCAACCTTTCACAAATTATAAGCTTTAACTCAGAAATCTGGGTTTCTTGAATTGCCATCTCCCCAGCTGTCACTGCCTCGGTGCCGGTTCCATGTCTGACATTACCTGACCAGAGGATGCCCCGCCACCCCCCTCGACCCGGCCGGGCCCCAGAGCGGCACGGACCGCAGCTGGGCAACCTGCGCCTCAGCCCGGCAGCCCCGCCGGAAACCGCCGAGGAGAACCGGCCGTTTCCCTCCCGCTTCCCCCGGGCACAGAGCCAGGGAGGATGTACGGGAGGTACAAACGGATAAATGCAATAATCAGAGGGAGACGACCGCACGGCGGGAGGGGGAACACAAGGCACAAGGAGGGGCAGATGCCATCTTGTGCCTCAGAGATGTCTCCCTGGACAGGTCCGGCAGCGGATACCCCGATCTCGGGCACCAGCGCCACAGGCCCGGCGGCCGCGCCGCCCCCCTCGCCCCGAGCGGGCTTTCCGCGGGGGGAACGGCGCCCACCCGGGGCTGCCCGGCGCCGGCGCTCCCCGCCCGGGCCCGGCACGGAGCCCAGCGAGCCCCCCTTCCCGCACTCACCTTGCGGAGGGGAGGGAAGGGCTGAGCCGCAGGCGCCGCCGCCCCTCCAGGTGTTCCAGCGCCGCTGGCGTCAGCGCGGCGAGCGGAGCCGCCTGTGCCGGCGTGGGCGCCCCCGCAGCGGGGCGGAGCCGCCGCCCGGCCCGGCCCGGCCCGGCCCCCGAGGCGGGAGGGCGCGGCCGGCAGGTCTCCGGAGCTTGGACCGGCAGCTTCCTCGCCTCGGTCACTGCCGGGGCGCGTTTCCTCCCGCTTCCCTGGCTGCGCTGGGAGGGAAGCGGCGGGAGAGTTACCGCAGGCTGGGGCCCTCCTTGGGCGCTGGTAACCCCCTGAGCCCCAGCCTGCTGGGGACCGCAGGTGCCCCGCGAGGAGCATCAAGGAAATATTAAAATGTTTTGGCTGCCGTAAATTCACAGTTGTCGTCGAGATGGTGGAAACTTGGAGGAAAAGGGCCCTTTGACGTAGCGGGCAGGTGGCAGTGTCAGAGGGGGTCAGGAGAGCGTGGGGTTTGAACTCACGTCAGGAGTGGGTCACTGGGGGGTTGTAAGAGCTGTTCGAGTAAAGGAGGTGAATTTTAAGCTGATTTGAGAGCTTAAAATGAGGGGGAAAGTTCACAGCTGGCATTTGAAAACGAAGTAAAGGAGAAACGGGGGAGCAGCAAGATAGGGTGAAAAATGATCCCCCTTAAATAGGGCAGTGTTAGCTTACTAGTATGGCACGTGAGGAGGGCGGGGGTGTAAGCACAATGCAGGGAATGAACGTGGGGATGGAGACGGTGAGTTTAAGTTGGTAGGGCCCCAGGAAAGGTTTGAAGAAGAGAGGACAGGAGGAAACTGTGGAAAACAGAAATGAGGTCAGTAACGAGGCATCATTTGCTGAACCTTACAGAGGTCTGAAGTGCTCGTGTCAGTGTCTTGTTTTTGTGAGGCACAGCTGAGCAACTTCACTGTAAGTCACACACCTAAGAGCAAAATGCAAGATGTTTACAGCAACAGGGACTGTGCTGTGAGACAGTGGCTCTGAAAAAGACTTGGGATACTAATGAGTAGGTAGCTAAGCATGCGCTCCCTGAGCTTTGAAGAAGTCAGCAGGGATAATTTACTTAAGAGCTGTATAACCTGAGGAATTTCAGGGATTATTTGGGAGGTTGGTTACTTTCCCTATTTGACACTGGTGCGACCACTAAGAGCAGGTCATATCTGAGCGGGATGTGTGTAGAGCAGATGGTGTGCTGACAAACTGGAATGGGTTTATGGCAAGAAATACAAGATTGTTTTCCAGAATTGCAGAAATCCTAATAGGATAGTCTTTGTGGTAAAGCACAGTAACAGTGAGCAAATATTTTCATGGGAGAAAAATCTCCTAATGAAGTCCTCAGTCTTGCAGAGAAAGGTAAAATACTCTTCAGCATCTGAAAGCTTGGAATACAGGAAACCTGATGTGAGATATCTTGTTTACCTTTAGATGTTACACTGTAGGCACTCTTAAGCTATGTTGGTATCCTAGAGCTCTCTCTAGAGCAAAATGAGAAAGATGTATTTTAGGGTGTGTTTTATCTAATTTATTTTAGTTTATGATGAGATTAATCAGACTCTGGACATGAGTTACCATGACCGTGAAAGAGTAACAGGCTCAGGTGTAAATACTTACATTAGACATATTACCCTGCTAGTCAAATAAATTCCAGGTATTACTGGTTTTGAGAGAAAAAAATGTTCATGGAGTTCTTACCTCTTCAAAGGGAAGTGGTGCTAATAAGTGACAAAAGGTATCTCTGCAGTATGTGAGGGTCTGGGATCCCTCCAGCCATGTCTGACACTGAGTTGTGTTAGCTTTTTGTTTCTAAGTGAACCTGAAGAACTCATTGTGTCTTTTAAAGGGATTTATATTGCAAATCTCCTAGAGGAAGGTGAAAAAAGAAAATCTCATAGCATGTGAAGGAAGTACTTTAGCCATTACAGGAGCAGAACCAAGAAGAAAAGGGAGATTTTATTTGGTAAATTTGAAAGTATTATTTTTCTTAGTTGCTCCAGGGTAAGTTAGGTAGGAGGGCAAATACTCCTGAATAAGCCTTAACTCTGGAAAACACTGTACTTTTGTAATCATGGAACTATTTTTATGCCAACAGTCATGTATGTGTGTGAATATACCTAAACCCAGGACTTAGGCTAGCTCATTCCTTGTTTACATGAGGCCAACATCCTGCAAATTACAGACAACTTTTTTCATTGTTCGCCTTAATGTCTCAAACCAATAGCCGAGCTTACTATATAACCTCAATTAGTTTTAAACCTTTATTCCTCGCTGTAGTGCAGGCATATCTTAATCTTTTATCGTGTTTCGTGTAGTTTATCACCAGACTTGAATGTTATAAATATAAGCAAGTGCCATCTGGTTGTTCTAGCACCTCTCTTATCTCCCATGGAGATATTTTTAGGTCAGCAGAAATATAGAAATGTAACTAAAGCAGTTATTGCAAGTGATACATGAAATAAGGTGTACTTATTACTTTTCACAAGTTTAATTCTTTGGCAAAGCCACCTGGATGCATGAAACACCCCAAAGCATGGTGCTGCATACATTCTGCTACTAACATTTTTCCCTATTTGGGCATCAAAGTACTCTAGTTACTTAAATTAACTAAGCAGTTGGTTCCCTGACCTTAAACAAGTCCATTTCTGCTGTTTTATAGAATGCCACATCCTCTTGCAAACTGAGATTGTTTGGATGACATAATTAAAATTGCTGTAAGATTCAAGTAAATATAAAGTAAGCGCTCTGTGGAGGAACTATTAACCACACCATGGTTGGAAACATCACATTCTATGGTAGAGAACTGACTTTCCAAGTTCCTAGTCACACAAACCTGGAGCTTTTGAGAGACTGAGCTAGTGTTTAGTCTTAGCCCTCGTCTTTTAAGGCCTTTTCTGCATCTGAGCCTTATGTTACACTTTGCTCCAGCTGCATTTAATTTGTAAAAGGGCAAATAAGGATTGGAATCCCATGTTGACTCAGTGAGACTCACAGTCTAGTCATGTTTACTGTACCACATTGCTATACAGCATCCTATGGGATATGCTCCCCTTGTCACTTAAATTGGTGCATCTCCTGTATTCCATGCTATCTATATAAAATACACTTAACAAATGTGTGTAATGGTTTTTAGGTTATTATATTTCTTTAAGTAATAAGACAGCAGTTCAAATAAGAAAATAGAAAACCGTCAGGGGAAAGAGAGAGTAAGCTGGAAGTTCAAGTATTTTGGTAGCCCAAATTTTGGTAACGTCCTGTTTTTCAGTTGAAGCAGCAAGAATGATATTTTCCCCTTTAGTATATATTATTTTCTTAGGGTTTCTTAAGAATAGTATGTGCTGTTATTCTATCCCCCATTTAGATATATCTGTGAATTAGTTACTTCAGAAATTTGCATAACATTAGGATCCCAGAAATGAAGGTTTCTCATCCTACCTAGACAGTAGCATTGTTATTATTAATTGCTGTTAAAATTTCACACATTAAGATGTTTTTTAATCTTCCCATAACACATCGTTTGCCCTCTGTTTGTCACCTACATAGGGAAGTACAAACATTTCTGGTCACAGTCACTGCCTGTTTGCATTTCTGCTCAAAATTTGGAAATTTTGAGGGGGGAAAAAAGAAGGGGGAAGGGAAATGATGCTTCCCTTAAACTTCCTTCAGTCTCTTATATGAATACTTTCAGTCTTTTTTGTCCTCTCTGATCTATCTGCTGGTCTTTTAATTTTCCTGTTACACTGCTCTCGGTGTCTAGAACACCACTTGAGTTTATAAATGGCTTTCAATCTTTAATCTGTTTTCAAGCTTCTTAGCAAAATTATCTGTCTAGTTTAAAGGTGTTTAATTCTTCAGTTTGTGTGCTGCTGTTTCGTATTTATTTCTGTAGTTTCTGTAATGTAGCTCTGTAAGGCATGTATTTTGTATTGTTTATGTGACATGATTCCAGTTTAGTAATCTGCTGAAAACCTTTAACCTATTGGCAGCTTCAGAGATTTACTTAATTAGTCATTTGTTTCTGCTTTCGTAAGCTGAAAAATACAGAATCACAGAATGATTGAGGTTGGGGTTGGGGTTGGGGTTGGAAGGGACTTCAGAGATCATCTTGTCCCTCCTAAAGCAAGTTCACCTAGAGTATGTTGCACTGGGTTGTGTTCAGGGGGATTTTGAATATCTCCAGAGAAGGAGACTCTAGAACCTCTCTGGACAACGTGTTCCAGTGCTTGGTCACCCTCGAAGTAAAGAAGTTTTTCCTCATGTTCAGATGGAAATTCCTGTGTTTCAGTTTGTGCCCATTGCCCCTGATACGTTCTAGGATAGTGGAGCCCCTGAAATCCAGCCAAGTGTAAAATTAGAGGGCTCCAGGTTGGTGTGGTGCCAGCATCTCTGACCATCAAGGTAGAACCAAAACTTTGCCAAATAGAAGTCAATCTGTAATTGTGGCTTTCATGATGTTCACTTATCATTACCCTGCTATGGTCCTGCAGACTGAAAATGAAACAACTGTGAGCACAGGGGCTTGCCTGGATTTTTCTTTCACATTTAGATATTGTCTGAAGTCCAGACTTTTAATGTTGCTGTCCAAGTGCAGGTTAATATACTTTTTTGGCAATTCATTATCAGTGCACTCTACAATACTTCTCTTTCCTCTTGTCTGGTTGGCAGTGAAAATTGTTGTATATTCTTCCACTATCCTACACTAATTCTCTCCTTTATTGTCATTATCAAACTTCCTGGATACTCTAGCAAATAGCCCACAGAGTACTCTTTCCTGTCAAATACTTTTCATTTGAATGACAGTGATGAAGCATGTGGAGTGACCATCTATTTTTCATACCTGACATTTTGAATCAAAAGAGCTGTATTAGTTAAGCTGTTCTTTAGATGGAGCTGGTATTTGTGGAAATTCACCAGAGAATTAGTGAGGCATTCAAGACTCAGGTTTATACCTAATGATGACACGTAGACAGTAGGGACAAGAGAACAGCCATGGTAGCAATTTGTGCTGATTTCCATCTGAGAACAATAATATATTAAAAAAAATCTCCTTCTTAAGTATTTACTTGAAAATATTAATTTGAACACACACAGCGTGCAGTCATTGGTTGTATTCTGAAGAGAATATCCATCTGTGGTGGACTTGGATAAGCAATCCAGCCCCTACAGTATGCTATGAATTTATTTTATTATAGTCTGCAACAGCATTATTGAATAATCTCAGCACAAACCCGAACTTTTTTCCCAAAGAGGCTTACAGTCTGAAAGAAAATGCAAAATGGGAGAGAGACAGCAAGAATCATTGTTTTCACTTTGTAAATGAGAAATTGAGACAAACAGATAAAATGATTTGTAAAAA